ATTCATCTATTGCATCCAGCTGAGAAGTTTCTTGAAAAGATATAACTTAGCTTTCAGACATTCAGCACAAGCAGGTTTAAAACATAAAGAAAATGCAAGAAAAGAAACACTGTACATTGATGCCATGTGAACACACTTGAGCGTTTGAGCTTTCCTACTATATACCACAAAAACCAAACACACAGGCAATGTAAAATTCTGCAGCAGTGCTTGTTGCATTATACTTAGCTGAAACGCAGCACAGTACATGCAAATTCTGGCAGTGTCCTTTAAAAAAAAATTAAGCTATAAGCCTGCAGGCAGAAACTTTGACTTTTTATATATTAATTATCAAATGCTATTCTGACTTATAGCCCAATCATATGTATATTTACTTGGATATAGATCCCACTGAGGTCAGTGTGACAGAATTCCTACTAAGTGGCTTTAGGATTTCGGCCTGAGGTGAATAAAACAGTCAAGAGACCTAAATTCATAACTTACCTGCACATGAAATAACCTATTTAATAATACAGAAGTGAGTTTTCAACAGACAAAAAATGTTTCTTTTGTCATTTAAGTGATGGAAAGCTTAGGCTCAGCAAAGCTTGTTGCCAGTGTAGAAATCAGATTGTGAATCTAGATTTTTTACTACTGGCCTTCTTTGTATTTGTGCACATTAATTTAAGTGCTTGTTTTGAAAATCAAGCAAATGTTGAAATATTTCTTTATTCTGCATGCATTCATGTTTGTTGTTGTTCAGTCGCGCAGTCGAGTCTGACTCTTCACGACTCCATGGACCACATCACACCAGGCTCTCCTGTCTTCTGTCATGTTCCGGAGTTTGCTTAATTTCATGTTCGTTGCATTGATAACACTGTCTAACCATCACATCCTTTGGCTGGCCATAAAGAAAATCATCAGCTGTACCAGCTTTATCTACTCTTCAGTTGCACTGAGGCAACAGCTCTAGATATCAGCTCTAAGTGCTTTTCTTTCCCTGCAGATAGACCTAGTACATTTGTAGTAGTGAGAGAACTGATATGATTTATCCAGTTAAATAATTAGTGTTAACATTTAATTTTCTCCTGAAGGTCTTTGTGGCTTTAAATAGACTCATATGTGGTTTCAGAAACGTGGATTGCCTGAAAACCAATAGTTGTCCTCCATGTACAGTTTTGGTGGTACTCTCATAGCATCTTTATGTATAGCATAAAAACCTCATAATTAACTCTGGTTAAAAATAACAGCAAATTTGAGTAACAAGCCCCACCCCACCACCAATGCACTCTTTTCATTGTGTCGAGTCTTGCCAGAGATATCAACAGATATTCAATCAAACAGGGATCAGAGAATCTCAACGTTATTTTCCACTGCAAATCCAAAGAGGAAATGTTGGCCCTAAACAGCTACTCTTTCTATGTATCTCTGACAGGACTTATGGACAGGACTAAGTATTATATCTGCATTATTTCTGCAACCAATATATTAGGAATAATAAAACAAAATATGTTAGGAACAATAAAACAAAAATATTGTCTGGTTTACCTTCTAGTTCCAGGTATTTAAAATTCAAAAGCAGGGTCCACTGAAATATTGAGATCAAATTACAACTATGTGCATTTTAAAGATACATTTCATTCTTTTTTTAAGACTAAAGAAATCTAATGCCAAATTTCTATGTTTGGATCAAGACATTAATATCTTATATTAAAAATTTACTAATTCATTGTGGCACTGCCAAAATCACCTGGATTCCTGATCACTTGTAAATCACTATGTTCTCATCTATTCCATACTTTTTGTTACCAATACCAAAATTTCTTTAGCCTTTTTACTTTTGCTTACCAAGTCCCATCCTTTCCATTTACTTCTATCTTATCTGTGTTAACTTCAGCATTCTGAGAAGACAATGCAGCCCCTAACACATGCCCAAAATATATAAGATAATAATTTTGGGGAAATAGAAGTGTTATTACATTCATAATTATATTGCCATGAACTTCATGGGTAGCATGAAAGAGAATGACCCAGTTAATGTAGGCAGACACTCCAATTTGAGTAACACAGGAGTACATTTCCTCCTCCTACCCATGCACGAAACATCATCTTAGCCAGGAGTGCCATAGATGTGTGCTAAGGCCTTTTTCATAGAATTCTTCCCTCCAAAGGAAAAAGAGAAATAAAGAAAGGCCAGCAACTGCAGTACATTTTACCAGATGACTGGAAGGCACCATGCAAACTGGAGCACTGGCTTAATGAGAGTATGTACTAGGACAGTGCTTCAACAAGATGATGTATGAGAGCAAGAAGAACTGATGAACACTCACCAGCATGTGTGGAATCCTAAGGTAATGGCATAAATAAGGCCATCTTCTATCTCACGAGAGGATTCCTCCCAGGAGGAAGTTTCGCTATCTGCCCTCATGTTTTCACTGTACCCCTTCCCTAACTCCCACACAACCGGTTTATAGTGAACTGAGATAACTAGTGGTCCTATTATTTATTGCTGCAGCAAATAAACATCTAGAATGGGATGGTGCAAATGCCATGTTGGTGTAAATAAACTAATTTGAATATTGTACGAGCCTTTCAGGAATTCCGAACATAATTTTCAGCTCATGATAAGGGTGCCAAAATTACTGAGGTTTGGCCAATAGAAGTCTCATGTATAACACATTAGCAATAATAAGTTTACTTATAAAACTGCAAGCACTAGGTCTTGGTCCCTCATCTCAATTTTTAGAAATGGGATAGTTCCATTTATAATTATGTTATTTCATTTCTGCCTGGCTACTGAATTAAAACAACAATCCACAATGCATATACAAAGTCACATTTCCTCATTTGTGAAACATCCACACACTTTTACAAATTGGTTAATGTGGTACTGACCATATTTCAAATGACAAGTCTGAGTGAAGACGGAATATTTAAAACCATCCCCCCTCAAAAGGAAGGGATTCCTTTCTTGCAAATTTCCTTGGTGAAAACCCTGTCAGTCCCCCACCACCATGCATGTACATCTAGATGCCTCACCAGTATAATTTTAGTGCACAACTTTGGCACATTTTGAACTAGAAGTCCGACATTCCCATAGTGAAAGCAGACTGCCACCTATAGGTGTGAGTTAATCTTAGCAAACAGGCTCATATTTGAGGGCATTGTAACATACTGTTATGGATTTAATTTACAGTAAACACTAGGACACAATTAATTTTAATTATATATATATATATATAATTTTATATGCAATAGTTTTGATCCAGTATCCACTGCATAAATTAAATCACTTAAAGAATTATTTCCACCTGCAAGATGAGTAAAAAATTGAAGAGGCTGCCTGATAACTATAAGAAGCAAAAAAACATTATAGTTTCAATATCTAGGCAGGATATTCATAGGAAAACTGTTATTATAAAGTGTTCTAAATATTAGATAGAAGGTTTCTTGGTAATTAACCTATTTGTTGATAATGCTGTCCAATTTATCATTTACATAATTATCATTTTACTCATGCAGCCAGTATGTTTCCATGAAAAATGATATATGATTGGAATAATGTGTATTAATAATGTGGCTGCACTCCTTTAACTTATTTTAAATTAAATTTAATGGTAAATGGAAATACAAGAGGTATAAGATGCACGTCTTGGTTATGTAACACTTGAGTATCACATAATCACCATAAATAGCTTATACTGCACAAATGGAATTGGACATCACATTTTCAGGTGCATAAGATCTCAGATTATTATTATTTGCAAATCAGAATATTTCTAAATTATCTTAATAGATCTTGGAACAGTAAAACATGAATAGCAATCCTTTTTCTTTTCTAACTTTGCAGCTTTAGTTGCTGCTCTACTGCATTAACATGGAGTAAAAGCAGCTATAAATGCCATAGCAGTGCACCGGGTTTTTTTAATTTCAAGGAAATATAAAGTTTAATACACTGATCAAGAGTTTATTAAGAACAATATCATCCACTGTCTTCTGTAGAATAAATGTTTCAGAAAACAGTGGTAAGGAAATCCTTTTTCGGAACAAAGAATTAAAAGTAACTGGCATATCAATCAGAATTCCAAATTATCAGATGGTCATATTTTTTAAAAAATTCTTAAAATAAGCTCAGCCATCAACATCTTGAAATGGCCCACTTTGATTTGTCCTGCTTTCTCAGTTTCTTTAGCTTTTCAGGGAAATAGATACTGTAGACTTTGAAAACAGTTCATATAAGTAACTTGTCTATAAACCTGTACAATGTTCATATGGATGACTGATCTATATCACATTATCTGAAATTGTATTTTGTGCTATGAATGCCCAAGCTTGTGAATACCCAGTCTGTGCTGTAGAATTCGGAAACATTATATTAAATAACAGTACAGTGCTGGAATGTAGCACCATCCATATAGTCAGGTCCTGTTCCTCAGCTTAAATGACATTTTTTGTTAAAATTTGAACAATGTTTTCTGACTAAATCATGTTTTGTAAATGCATTCAGAAACCATTTCACACATCCCAACACTCCTATTTGGATCTGGCCCACCATTTTGCCACTTTGGACTGAAAGCTTCATTGTTAAATACAAATTTCACTACCATGTAGAATCAGCTTCAGGAAAGTGACCGAACAACATGAAAAACAACATATTCAGCTATGACAGTTTCTATTTGCTTAATGCCTTTATGGAATATGGCCTTCTTGTTGTGGTACTACTGTTGGGCAGGACATTAAAAAATGCATTTGTCATATACCAGATCAAAATCCATACATAGTATAATATAGCCAAGTACATTAATATATTCTTATAAGAAAGGGGAAATATATTTTTTTAAACCACCCAAAAGCTGGATGAAATTGAGAGTAGAAAAAAATTATAGTACTTAAAATGTACAGGAAAAAATGAAAGGAAAATTCTGCTCTGCTAAGTTGCGTTTTATTGAAGAGACCCTTCTATTTAAGAGACAAAGAAAATATAATTTGGACTTTAATTATATAATTAAAAACTTAAAATACCTTCGTCCTGGAGTCCTGCTCAAGCCGGAACATCTATGATTATGAAAACAATTATCAAGCAAATACCTGTAATGACTTGAGAATGAGTGATCATTATGCATGGAAAATTTTAAAATAAATATGAAGTAATCATCTTAATTCTGTCTCATTTCTTATGTCAACTTCATCTTTTAATAAAAGGATGAAGAAAATGTCCTCCTGTTTACATAATGCATAGGATAATCTTAAGATAAAATATGATCTCTGAAATGCTTGTTTTTGGATGCAATATTTGCTACTTCTATATCATCATCTGACCATCATTCAATAGTATATTTTGTAGGACCAAAAGTTTTAAAAGCATTCAAGTACAATAGAATTCCTTAAACAAATATCTATGGTATGCTTCTCATGGGGGAGGGATCAACACAATAAAATACCCTACCAAATAACACCCCCACCATGCCACATTAACACTTACTGTTTGGCTTATTCTACCTTTGCTCAATACTAACAACAAAAAATAAGTTCAAAAATAATTCTTGCAAGGGTGACCATTTTTTACAGGTATATAGATAGATGTTACATAAGGGTGGGGGAGGGGACAGAGGGAAGAGCAGCATATACTTCATGCAAATTCCGGTCATCAAATGTTTACATTATAAAACAAACAAATAAAGAATTTAGCTAAGTCATCAACTATAAAAGCCATAAAAGAAGTTTGTGACATAAGATGGTAATGACAGATGGAATACCACGTAATACAAGACTGATAAGAGATATTTCAAAGAATATCAGTTCCACATTTGATGCCAAGTGTGATCATATATTTACTGGCCTCCATCAAGCCTCACAGTTTAGTCTTCAATTTAAGTATTATCTTAAATACAATATTCTGTAGATTATATGGATATAAATAATGGGTATTTTAAACAATTACAGTCAATATTGGTACCAGTTTTATACCAGCTATTCTAATGGATAAATCAAAGACTATATGTGATTTTATTAACACAGAGAAAATAGTGTTTAGCAGATAAATGTATGGATTACCAAATTCCACTGAAGAACCTCTAGGAAAGGCAAGTCAGTCTTATATAAGGTGGAGAAAGGGGAAGTGAGGTACAGTATCACTGTTTACTCCATGACCTCAAAGAATGCCATTAGTTGTTATATAATCATACATATTTGCTCCTTTTAGAATATGTTTATGCCTGATATTTACACTGTAAATTACAAAACAGATATAATGAAAGTAAAATATCCTTCCAGAAGAAGGATTTAGGGATTCCTTCTTTCTTTATGACGTACAACCGAAACTGAGTACATGTTTAAAAAATGACTGTGATTGCCCTTTTGTATATCAAAGCCAGGATACCAACGAGACATCTATTGCATCCAGTCAGTACCAACTTTGAGTAGCTTCTTGAAAAGCTGTAACTTAGCTTTCAGATATTCAGCACAAGCAGGTATAATGTAATGAAAATGCAAGAAAAGAAACACAGTATATTGGTGTTATATGAACACATACTTGAGCGTTTGGGCTTCCGACTGCATACCACAAAACCAAAAGCACACACTGCAGAAAGCTGAGATCTATAGGCAAGGGATAAACATTTTAAAAATTGGTTAAAGTTAATAGAAGCAGTTCTCAAAATAAAAGAAACAACTGCAGGGCTCATCTGTACTAATATTTTGCATGCACTGAGACCAGCTTACAGTGACTGTACTGTGCAGCAGATCTGCATCATTTGCTCTGTCATCCGGAAATCAGTCTTGCACAGTTCTACCTAGTGGAAAACTATACCTACTTCAATAGAGAAAAATACCTCCTCTTGTTGAAAACACTTACAGCTTCCTATCCTGCCAGCTATGTGCATTGCATCCCACTGCATTCCCATGGGACATCTCTGCCCTCTGCGCAAGATGTCATGTATGTACTTCACACAGCACAACTATGTATAAATAATTTTTACTCTTATGTCGGGATAGTTCTGTACTACTTTACTGCTGCTTATTATTACTTTTAATCCCTTCATTAATACAGCACCTATACCATTTCATTATATTTGATTTTTGTAAAAGTGCCTTGAACATTTTGATGAAGAAAGGTAGCATAAAATATTTTAAAATAAGGGCCAACTGCGTGTTTAGAGAACAAAGATGAAAAATGGTGAAATCTTTAATCAGAAATTACACTAATAGAACTGCTATTAGCAAAAGTTAAAGTAATAATTTAATGTTGATATCCCATATTCCTCCAAATTCAAGCTGACTGAAGAGTTTAAATGAGTGGGAGAAAATGAGGATGATGGAAATCAAGTCATGCTGATATATCCCAAAGGACTGGCCAGTCGTCTCAGAAGAAATGTATGAATATGCCCAAATATCAAACAACTTTTCTTACAGGAACATCCACCCAAAGACTGCAGGCTCAGTAAACGCTACAACAAAAAGCATATGAATGCACAGTGCAGACACAGCCCAATTTACATGGAAAGAGCATTGTGGATTACAACAATTCTGCTTAGGCCTACTGTGTATTCACAGCAGAGGAAAAGTAACCTTGTTAAAGGTTAATGTTTATTCTTTATTGGTCTAAATTTTGTGGGAGTTTTAAAATTTGTATTTTAAGGATGATGTACAAAGTTCATGTTTTTTCCTAGAATGCTCTCATATTTTGCAAGAGGTCCATCTGAATCTTTAATTAAATAGCTGAGAGAGGACTTTCATGATATAATCCAATGCTATTGAAAAAAATAAAAACACTTACCACATATTGAAAAAGTATACTATTTGTTCATGTGGTTTGTTAAATATATGTATTTTCAAATGTTATGAAAATAAGAGAGCATACCAAAGGAGAGATATAAAAATGTAGGTAATTAATTGTTGTTGGTTGTGCTGTCAAGTCACAGCTCACCTATGGCAACCCGTAGGGTTTTCAAGGCAAGAGACATTCAGAGATGGTTTGCTATTGCCTGCCTCTGTGTTACAACGCTGTCCCAGTGCATATAAAAAACAATGGACTATGGATTTTGGCTGCAAACCACTGGAAATTTCAGCCAGAGGAACACAACTTCCCAGCCTCTGCATCCCAAATACCCACAGAACACCGCTTCTGGGGGAAGCCAGAGGTGTACAGCAGAAGAGGGTAATCAGGAAAAATCACTCCCTTCCATCCATGGAAATCCTCCACGGGATCCAAGCCTCTGCACTCATTTTGAACATTCCTCAGATTTATACCAACCCCTCCTCCCAATATGGTATCACTCAATTCCTGAATATGAACTGCTAAGGGAAGCAGCTGAATCACAGTCCAAGTCCAAAATCTGAATTGAGAGTACAGAAGAGGAGAAAATGAATACCACTAGTAACGTTATCAAAGCTGGCTTAAATCTTCAAAATGTAGATTTAACATCAAACTTGCAACTATCGGACTTCTGTACAACATGTCAAACCTGAAGTAAATCTCTGTTTGTGTTGAGGATGTGCTGTTAATTATATTTTTAAATGCTCATTTTCTAGCATTGAGCCAAAAGAGACTCTGGCCAAATGGCAAACTTGGGAGGGGAGGAACCACCAGAATTTATTTGGGAACTTCATGGGCTACATAAACACCCTGCTTCTAACATTTATATCACTTTGTAAAACCTGTGCAGTTTAGGGCTGCCAAGCATGTCAACCAATGGGAAACGGGGGAAGACAAGAACTTCCTGACTTGGGAGAGGATCGGTGTCCCATGTGCACTGACCACTTCTAGTGTGACTTGTTAAGTTTTGCCATCAAACCCGAGTGATGTTCCAGTATTCCCCCAAATCTCTATGGTTTAACCATAGAGCATCACCCAGTGCAATGATGTCGCTTCTTGGTTATACTGGAAATCACATAATCACATGCCCCCCCCCATGGGCAACAGAAACTGGGGGTGAGAGGTCCCCCAGCAGGAGGACGGCAATCCTAGTGCAGTTACATCATTTATTAAAGGTAAAGGTTTCCCCTGCTCAAAAGCCAGTCGAATCCGACTGTAGGGGGCGGTGCTCATCTCTGTTTCCAAGCTGAAGAGCCAGAGCTGTCTGAAGACTTCTCCATGGTCATGTGGCCAGCATGACTAAACACTGAGGCACATGGAACACTGTTACCTTCCCACCAAAGCGGTACCTATTTATCTACTTGCAATTTCTTGCTTTCGAACTGCTAGGTTGGCAAGAGCTGGGGCCAGAGACGGGAGCTCACTCCATTATGCACACGATGGTCTCGAACTGCCAAGCTACAGACCTTCCTGTCTGCAGCTCAGCGTCTTAACCTCTGAGCCACTGCGGCCCCTACATCTTTTATTAGGAGGTTGTAAAATATGTATCATAACTGGCCCTAACTTTTTTTTTAATCTTGGGCACTCCATATTAGCATTATTAAATAACCACAGGGTGGTGTTTTCCTATCATTTGCTCTCAAGATGTAGGAGCACACTCCAATTCTTGTTGTTGAAATTTCTGTACAGATTGCCTCCTGTCATATTTTATGTTGCTCAATCTCCCCAGGTAATTTATTTTATTGACTTAACATACCCCTTCTTTCTCTCCAATGAGGACCCAAAGCAGCTTATATTGTTCTTCTCTACCCCTTCCCAACACCCTGTGAGATAAATTAAGCTGGGAGCGTGTGACTGGCCCAAGATCACTGAGTACACTTTCAAGGCAAGACATCAAGACTAAAATAAGACATTTACATATAATACTCAGAGAATGCTGCTATAATACTCCTACTCCAGATACAGAATGGATTGTTGTAACATGCTCTGAATGGAGCTCTTGTTGGAAAGTGATCAGCAATTATAACCAATGTTCCCTCTAAGCTGTGGAGTCTTGTGAGCAAAAATTCTATTTTGTGAGCTACCAGCATCAAAGTTGTGAGCAAGTGATTTGGCTGCTCTGGAGCCCTCCTTCCTGAGCTAAGACAAAAATGTGTGAGCCGGAGGCTAAAAAACTGTGAGCTAGCTCACACCAACTCAGCTTAGAGGGAACACTGATTATAACTGGTGTAGATTGTGGCTGCAAGGTTATTAAATTATGCTTGCTGGTTGCTCAAGAACATGATTACAATACCTGATTATTTACATGGCTGCCAGCTTATTTACAGGTCCAATTCAAATGGCTGTTTTTTATCTATGAAGCCTTACAGTCCAGGAATAAGACTCTCTTCTCCCGTAAGAGTCTATGTACATCCAAGTCACCTTCACGGCCCCCCTCTTCGTAGTGCCACTTTGTCTGAGGTCCACTGGGTGGTAACACAGGACAAGAGCTTTCTAGGGAAGTTTGCCTTGTGATGCCAATTTAAGACAAAGCTTCCAGGAGGCTACTGGGTAGCAGAAAAATTTGTTTATTTTTCAAGATCTTAGTTGTTTCTTTTTAAGTGGCTGTTTTTAGCCAAAATTTATATTGTCAGTATTATTCTTTTATTGTGACATTAATATTTATTGCTGCCTTGTACATCCCTATCTCATTGGGTCAGTATATATTCCCTCCTTGTTTAGAAGGTTGGGTTGCAATTATATAAGAAACCACCTCTTCTCTTCAGTGTCTCAATGGAATGCCTCAGACTGACCATGGGTGCCAGCATTCCCATGTTTCCCAATGCCACTATACAACTTCAAATGCTAATGTTTTGGAAGGTTAGGTTAAATTAGGTTTATTGCATCATGTCCTGCCTAAATGATAAAAGCTTTAGGAAATATTGTAAGACTTTAAAAAAATTAAGTTCTTTTTCTGTCACTTAAATTAAGCTGGTTGATATTAATGTTTGTTATATATACATTCAACTGAGTTAACTCCCTGAAGCGTTGAGAAATAAAGTTTCTCTTTTAAGGAAAGGTTGTACAATCCTTTTTTTTTAATTTGGCTTTTGGCTCCCCTCAATCCCCAAATGGTTTTTCATTGGCTGTCAGCTGTGACCTGTTTGTTAGGTTTTTAAGGACATTTTTGCTATTCATTTTATATAACTCTTATTTTCTTTTTTATATTGTATACTGTTTTGAATTTTTTTATTCAAAGAGGCATAAAGCTTTAGACAAGCAGGCTTACAATGACTGTATTATATATGTTGTCACACTAATGGGGTATTACTTACCCAAAGAATGTGGCTTTAGGTAGACTTAAAAAAAGGTAAAAAGTAAATGAATACCCAGAGCTCAACTTATACCATGGTTCACTCTGTGCTGTGCTTCCTTTTCTGTCCCCAAAGTGGCTGGCATTCGGTAGTAATTGCAGAGATGGAAAACAAAGGTGATATAAGGGATCACGAAATCATACCACACAGTTATCTTCTAAATACCCAGGTCCCTGGACACTGTCCATCTTGGTGAGCTATCCCTAAACACAAGCAATGGTTGCAATACTTTCAGTAGAAAAATGTGACAACTATCCTGGGAAGGAAGGGAAACTGTCAACTTGATTCCAAGCTTATTTACTCAACAGCAAATCTTCCAGTATTCAGTCCTAACTGCGGTTACGAGTGCAGCCTGACTGTCTTTTTGAGATACAAACATTGTATTTCTTTCTAAACCTAAATCACTCAAGTCTCTGCAACTAGCTTCAAGTGATTTGAATATTTCCTGTACTTGGGGAGACAGGAGTACTTAAATTGTTATTGCTAGCGCTAATTTGTTTTATTTTGAGAATTATTAATGAGGGTATGAATGCATCATCTAGAGCAGGGCTTACTGTGAGCTGTTGCTGTGACTTTGATCCCACCCTCTATGAAGTCAAGGGAAAGATTAGAGGGCCAGTGTTCCCTCTACGGTGAGTTTGTGTGAGCTAGCTCACCGTTTTTTAGCCTCTGGCTCACACATTTTTGTCTTAGCTCAGGGAGGATGGCTCCAGACCAAACTAAATTATGCAGTAGCCAAATCACCTGCTCACAACTTTAATGCCAGCTGCTCACACAGTAGAATTTTTGCTCACAGGACTCCATAGCTTAGAGGGAGCATTGAGGGCTACCATTGTAATTGCTGTATAATCTTGAAGAAAAGGTTTTTCCATTCAGATCTCTTCATACTCTGTATCTGCGTTTGGGTTTCTGTGATGTTCCACATTGATTTTGTTCAGCTCCAAGCCAAAAAAAGCATAATTTGATAAACATGGCGAGTTGATGGGGAAAGCTCCCAACACCCTCTTTTCTAGTAAAAAATCCTTAAAGTTTATGGGAAAACACATTTTTAAACTAAACATTTAATTCAGAAAAGCAGTACAAGAGAAACAACATGCAAGAAGAAAATAATAATTACTTGGAAATGCTTCCAAACAATAAAGTTATGCTTTGCTGATATTTTCTGTCACATCTGGAAACACGTAGGTCAGTACCTGAAACAAGTCACATCGTCTCACCTATAGGTGCTCCATTTTGGGGAAAATTATATTTATTCCAAAAAGTGATCCTTAGATGAGAGCATGCAGTCCCACATAGCATAACCTCAGAACGTAAAGTGTCCATAAACCCTTACAGAAGGAATACCACAGTGCCGTAAATTTGATTTTTAAAATTATGATAGTTGTTAATAGATGTCTAGATTTACAATGCAGATCTTAAGTATATTTACTCTTTGTTGAGGAGGAAGAATCCCCCCCCCATTTGCTTTGAGGACAGGCCCAGAATTAGCAGCAGGAGGGCACTAGATGCTATAACAGAGGTAAACAGAAACTTTCCTCTAAACCCAACACTGTAATGCTAAATGGAATTATGCTATTCTAGTCCCATTGGCATCAACAGATTTCAACTACGACCCTGTTCAGGATTGCACTGAAATTCTCTTCTAGATTCAGACTAGATTTGACTGCAGTGTGTGTGTGTGTATGTAGATAGATAGATAGATAGATAGATAAATAGATAGATAGATAGATAGATATACACACACACACATCCATTCTGCATTTCTGGTTGTAAATCCTTCTTGTTTCCCCCTTCCCCCATATGGCTCCTAATTTCTGTCTTCCTTGCTTTCTGGCTGGCTGGCTCTGCTTTATGTAAAACATTCACACTGTGATTGGTTTAGATGAAGAATTGGTAAAAGAGGCTTTTACATAATACATCATTTGCTTGAGCTGCAGCACTGTGTTACATATCTGTTTGGGCTCATCATAATGTGAATTTGTTTTGTGATTGCCAGATTAGAAATCCAAAAGTATTCCTTCATCATTCTGGATTAAGACATTTACTCCATACTGCTTTTCTACAGGTACTTAAACTTCCTCTATGTGAAAAACATGAACAGAGATTATGAAACCAAAAAAGCAGCGTGGATTCTATCATATCCCTGAATAAGCAAGTACTTTCTTCCCTTATTTTATAATAAATCTAAAGATTTGATAGGATATAAGGAACACCTTAACTCCCCTCCTCCCGTTTCCACTTAATTTTCTTAACACACGAAGGAAACACAGAGACACACACGTATACAGGTATCCATGTAAATAATTTCTTTACCTTTTTTTCTTCTTCTTTGCACTAAAAATCACTGTGAGACTATTACATCGTAGTAGATTGCTTTACCTACAAGCCACCATTAAGCGTTTTTATAAAGCACTCCAAGAAAAATGCTTTTTAAAAAATCACATTGGATCTATATTTTGCAATGATATTTAGCTACATTTCACTGCCCTAAGAATCCTTTACAATAAGGGAGAAACTGTACTTACAATATTTTCCTGCAACTCTCCTCCACCTCGCCCCCTCCCCTTTTACAACCTGATAGTACTACATCACGTTGCTAGTAAGTTCCATTATCTGCTTATAGAATAACCCGTGGAAAGAATCGATCAATTATCTCCTTAATGTACACTTTGAAACGATATTAAGATCAGAACGAAAATAAAATCATTGACACGGCATGAAAATATTATAATACACATGACAGACCTTTTATGCTTCTATGTATTTCCCTCCCTTAGTGACAGACGTTTCATTGGACTCTTGCAACAACAGGAACTGTGTTGCTATTGGTTGAAAAAATCGGGCTTCTCTCTGTTGGTAGGTAGAGGCTAGCTGCTGGGTTGACCAATCAGGTGTTTTGTTTCCAGGAGAAACATGGTTTGTATAGCTATTTAAATCCTAGTACGGTGATGTAAGCAAGGGAGATTGTTGCAAGGCGGTGAGAGGGAGAAAAAGGAGGGGAGGAGGAAAGAGTTTAGTAATAAGACAGACTGAAAGGAAAATGTTGTCAAGCTGAATTATTTACGGGACGCGAGTTAAATGCAAGTGGAGGCAGTTGTGACCCACCACACCTGCATACTGAACCAAAACGTTAAACATTCTTTTCATCCCCCTTCATAGAAAATTTTACACAAACCCATATGTATCTTGATGTGCAGGTAATGTGGAGGCATTGTTATTCTCCTGAAAAAAGTCTTTAACATTCAGGAGGCGTCATATCAAATATGTTTCCAATTTGCCTTTTTATGTTTCTTTTTAAATCATCTTCACCACAGTAAAAAATATCTTATGTGATGTTATTTCTTAGAGGCTGTATATAGCTGACTTAGGGTTGCCAGATACCTTTTGTTTTGAGGATCTATCTCTTATTTTAACAAATAGTGCCTTGTTTCAGAGCATCATAGTAAGCATTAATGATCATGGGGGCACTGTGAAAAATCGTATTCTGGGCATCTCAGTCCTTAAACCCATATTTCATTTCTTTATTTTCACAACAAACAATAAGAGGGATTCACCCAGACACCCTTCTCCTGTCACATCATATCACTGTCTGCTTCCTGCACATTACTGGGATCCCACCTCAAGGTGGGAATTTTACAGGAACAACTTGACACACACAATAGGTATGCCCTTGGCAACTGGGAATCATAAATAATAACACCACTGTAACATCAATAATAACACCACTGTATTAAGCTGGAGAAGAGGCTGTTTTACTGTTCTATGTGCAGATCTGAGGTTCCTTGAAGGCAAATATGGTGCAGAAGTTTGTTCTCCATTTTGTACCATGCAGGCACAGAAAAATATTGGACATGTTCTAAATGCACCTCCATGCAGTGGTGTGGTAAAACCAGCCTTTCTAATTTTCTGCAATATACTGGAATTCAGTTCTGCAATATACTGGAATTTATATAATTTTCTGCAATATAGTGGAATTCAGTTGCAGAGATACAGTGATTCTTTTTTGGCAGATGAGTTAATGTGGAAAGGTGAAAGTCTGAAAACCACTGAGCTGGGTGTTGTGTCTCCATGCACTGAACCAAGAAACACTGAATTATGTGACACTGAATGGCTGTTGACATATTTTCCCCCTTATGAATGGCTACAGAAGAGCAATGAATTTCCAAATGGCTATTTCAATGCATTAAACTAAAAAGAATGTCACCAAATTGTCATAGGAATGTATTGGTTCTTTCTAAATTCATTATGCCGTTATATCAAATGTATTATACCAAAGGTGTTTCTTGCACTGCTGAGGCATCAGTGTTCCACACGCTGCTTCAAGTGGATTTATTATAGTTATTCTACATAGGTCCTAACAGAGTGCTGTGTTCCCAGAAGTCACAATTCTGTAATGCCTGTTTCTGCAGAACAGGCAAATGTAGGTAATATATTACTACACCAATCACAGAAAGTGTAATTATTTACTCACTAATGGTTTTATCTTGTTTTTGTTAGTGCTTTTGTGGTTTAGCACAAAAACAAAACAATTAAAGAAAATTCCTGTTGAAAATAAAGGGAGAAGGGATTGCATTATATTGCAGATCAAATGACAGTGGAGATGCAAGTAGCCAATGCTTATTAAAACATTGTCAGGTGTTTGTCAGGGATAGGGAAGGTGGGGAGCTGAATAGAGTCCTAGGTCACCCTCTCAAAAATAGCCAACTGTGAAACTGAATTGTTTTTGAAAGGGCTGCATAAGTGCAGAACCAAGAAATTAGGTCAAGCAATGGAGATAAACTGGGGCTTTGTCAGCCAAAGGAGCTGGTTCAACTGGTAGGCCTGTTTCCTTAAAACTTTTCATGACCATCCCAACAAAACTAAGGTCTCAGAAGGGGAAAGTCTCCCCTATTTGCCTGTTGGAGTGAGCGACTTAGCTTGCCTAGAAATTGGGGGGCACTATATCACTCTAAGTGTGTATATGTGTTATCACTTTGAATGGGATGTCTCTCTCTTTGTTTTAACCTGGGAGCTGCCCTCTGACCCCTCCTTTCTCTCTGTGTTGTTTCTTCTGCCCATTTTCACATGGCTTTTTGTGGAGTCGCACATCTCTACAGGTCTCTCCTTTAGAAACAATAGCCTCATACTTCCATACACATGATGCCGGATCAGCTTACCACATGACAGGGAAAATACTCTTTAGATTAGGCTTCTCTGTATCCTTTGACCACAGCCTGAATGTGAATCTACTCAAATAAATGTAAGTTTTACTTTTTGCAATATACTTTTTGGGAGATTTATTTACTGCTCTCAATAGCACACTTCTATACTGAGCAAACTCTGCTATATTAACCAAATATCCCAATATTGCCCTCTCTCTAGAGCCTCACCCTTTTTTCAGCACTTTAAAAGCTCCTATCTGAGACTCTGTTTTAAAAGCGAAGATGTTCTTGGAACAGCAACAAAAACCAGCGAACAAAAAAGATACAGCAGAGGAACAAGTTATCAAAGAAAAAAGCAGCACACATGGGTCGGGCGATTCGGAATCAACAGCGAGTAGTTGGAGTGAGCGAAGAAGACTCTGAATCAGAATTAGGGGCAGTAGTCCCAAAAGTCCTGAAAGTAAAATGGAAACATGAAAAGAAGAAAAATAAAGGGAAGAAACAGATTTTTAAAAACTGTATAAGTCTAAAAGTCTTATTGTTTGTATTTACTTGAATCAATTATATATTGACCAGTCTGTAACAGAAGCAGTAGAAATTAACTATATTCCAAAAACTATTTCTTTATAGAGAGAGCTATAGCTAAATATGCATCTAATCATTCTTGTATAGCTTATTTTAGGTTAGTGTTAGTGTTTGTAGTGTTTTTTGTAGTGTTTGTAGTGAGAAAATAATTTAAAAAGATATTTTAAAACAAAGCTCCTGATGAAGGGAGCTTTGACTCTTGAAAGCTTATACTCCTAAAGTCTTGTTGGTCTTTAAGGTGGTCCTGGACTACTGTTATAAAGTCCAGTCTACATGACTAAACTAATGTACTGTGCAGCAATCTCTGATCTCTTAAGTATGGGTCATATGGTGGGGACTGAGCTTTAAATAAACACACCGTTTCTTTATGACTTCCCAAATTCTGATATAAAATGCAGGAACAGAGCTATGGAATTAAGCTTCACTTGTGAAAAGAGCTGATGCCTTTGGATTCCTATGTAGCAATATATTAGTATTGTCAACTCTCATAAAGTCATGTGTTCTTTTTCTCTCTTTTTACATTAAATTCTGTTTTCATTGTAAGAGCTGAACCTGACTTCACTATGAGGTAGGTTTTCATCCTCCTGTTTTAAAAGGCTTTTAAAACGTTCTGTGCATGGATGAAGGGAAAGTTTTCCAGTTTTTTTGAATGGATAATCCCTGTGTTAAATAATTACCAGGTTCTTTTGGCACTACTTTGCATGTTTATATTACATCTGTCTGTTGTAATAGTAACTTTAGTCCGAAAGATCAACTGCAACAAATTTGGTAATTGTGGATGCATAAAGAAAGTAAAATCTGAATATTAGTCCTGTTATTTTTCCCAGTAGAGAGAAAGAGCAGAGGAAGAAATCTTCTGAACTCTTCTGCCTACAAAAAGAGATTTACCTGTATCAGAGCCCAAAGAAAAGTTAAATCGCCATTAGCATAAATTGTTAATATAGTGGAAGGATGAGAACAGTAGCATAAAACATCTGTGGTAACAGGCTTCAATTTAATATATCTTTGTTATTCTCAAGGTTCAATGGTCTGCTTATTTAGTTTCTGGTGCAATGAGAAGAGCTGAAGAGCTGTATTATAACTTTGTCATTGTTTTGAAATAAACCACCACAGGTTATGACTGGAAAAAAACATGGAAAACCTACTCAGAAAACACTGGAATTCAACAGGTTGCCATATATTGTCTGGATTCTCCATCAAAACTGAATAAACAGGTTCCAGATTAAAAGGCTACTATGGAACACAATCAGTCTAAAAGGTAAAGGTTTCTCTTGCTCGAAAGCCAGTCGAATCCGACTCTATCGTGTGGTGCTCATCTCCATTTCCAAGCTGAAGAGCCAGTGCTGTCCGAAGACATTTCCGTGGTCATACATCAGAGTAAATGAATAGTGCACATAGTGGGCAGAAATCAGCCTCCAACAATGGGTAATGGTGCTGGTGGAGTGCTAATTTGACAATAAGGTATAATAGGTACGCAAATGTTTTCATGTGTGAAATGCTGGAGGGAATGCTTTAGCTGTGGAAAAAAACCCTTGCTAGTGATATATTTTCCACAATGCAGTTCCTAGGCAATAGGGTAGTTCTCACTAGAGAAGGCCCGTTGTGGACATAAATACAATGGCCTCTAGAAAGAGGCTCTGGGCGGGTGCCCCAGCCTTGGACACTCAGTGTCAATTTGCTGTGGCAACCTCAGCAGGGTATAATGACACTGAGTCCACCATTTTCTCCAGAGGAACTGATCTCTGCTACCTAAAGAACAGTTGTAATTTTGAGCGATCTCCAGCCCTCACCTGGAGATTGGCAACAATGGTTCCCCAGAAGGGAATAGTTGGTTTGGAGGGTGGAATCTATGGCTTTGTACCTGTCCGAGGTCCCACGCCTCCTGAAACCTCATCCTCTCTAGGCTCCATCCCTCACATCTCCAGGAATTTCCCACCTGGAGTTGGCAACCCTATCTCCTTCCCAGCCAATCATCATCTTACCTTTATTTCCCCCTCACTCTTCAGCTTTCCACCCCACACACACCTGCAGCCTCTCCCATGCTCTGAAGCCCTG